CATTATAGGGTTTATACTGTATTACCACTTTCTATAAGAGGTCATAAGTCAAATACAGGCATCTTAAGAATAGAATCAACACACTTTCAAAATCATGGTAATTTTTTTTAGGTAAACAAGAATCAGTTAGGTTAAATGCTAAAAAAAGACGTGATCGTTCCTGAACATGAAAGAACAGAAAATGGTTTATAGAAAGATTTTAGCTTGAATTTTTCACGAGTGGAGGGTGTATTTTAAACATTAAAGCCTCTACACCATGTGAATTTGTTAAAAAAGAGACTTTATTTTTGATGGTCTTTATATGACCATTCATTTGTTTAATGGTAGCTTTCAAAACCACAATAGTGTCCATATATGTACTGATTTAAACATGTCACTATTTTTTTTACATTTTTATCTAGATGTTTTTTTTTTGATCAACAGATTAAAATAATGATTCTTTGTTTACTTGTTTTAAATGAATAAACTTTATAAATAAAAATATTGTAACACATTTTATGAAATTTAAAACAGAACTGAGTCTTTTCAAAATGCGAACTTTTCACAGCCTTGTTCAATTAATGGGCTTTCATGGTACAGAATGATTGACAGGCGTCTTGTCCCGCCCCCTCAGTTTGCTGCTAGTTTTGTTAGCCACAGGCTTTAGCCAATGAGGGTGGGCGTGCAATGACGTGCCTCGAGCGCAGGCAAGATTAACATATCTAAACTGGATTATTTAATTTCTCACCCGTTTTCCTGGATGTCTTTGGAAGAAAAACTGGAAGTGAAAATGTTGGGGTGGAGAGAGAAGGGTTTTTTTTTTATTATATATGTATATATTATTAGCCCACCATACAAATAGAACAGATACAACTGAACGGACTGAAAAAATAACCCAAACAGACTATATTTATATTTATGCGGCACCAAGAGAAACGAAATTCAAATTTTCTGTACTCTTTTTATTGTATTGCTTTAATTTTATTTGCTTTTATTGTAATGTGGTGCGTTCAATAAAAATCAAAAATACGAAAAAATACTCTTTAAGACTTCAAGTGCACAAGAAAATTAATTTAACTGGTAAAAAAAGTTGATTTTTTTATGATAACTCCTCTTTGACGTCTATAAATGGGTCTTTTTGTCTGAGGGGGGCCTTGTCCCCCCGTGGCCTCCCTTTAGTGGCTTCCCTGGCTTAATGTAAAAAAAAAAGCCCAGGTTTTTGTGTGAATGGAGTCACAACAAATCCACACAAAGAACCGAGAGCAGCTGGAACACAAACACTCAGAAACTCTGGATCCTAAATGTGTTTTTTAGCTAATATTTTTGAGAAATGCGCCGCTGAGAAAGAAAGAAACGTCCAAACGGCAGCAGGAGGAGGGAGGAGGAATGAGTGTTTCCCACATAGACGTATCAATGAACGCACCCATTCGCCATCAGAGGCCCAGGCATTCATGCAACAATAAAAATATATAAATAAATAACAGCGCTTTCCGGTTAATTTTTCAACAAAATCGCTTTTTTTTTCTCTTTAAATTTTAATTGTTGCTATTATTTTCTCCTCCTTGTGTCTCTCCATTCCGCCCCTGCTGCACGGACTCATTAACACACCCCGATCCTGGCTTTTATTTTATATTTTCCTTTTTTTTTATGAATGGGACTGGATTCGCTCTGCGCCTTCATGAACATGGATTCACAAAAAGAAAGAAAGAAAAATATGAAATAAAAAAAAATGTGAAATATCTGAAAGGACGTGAGGAGGAGAATGAAGGAGTGGGTGAGAGAGGAAACTAGAGGATGGGGGGAGGGGAAGAGAAAAGGGAAGAGAAGGGGAGGAGAGGTGAGAATGAGAGAGGGAGAGAGGGGGGGGGGAGAAAAAAATCACATTTCATTCATAAAGTTTGGCTTTAAAAATCATAATGAAACCCCGAGACACGTTGATAAAAATCACAACGCTCCATCCCGCCCTCGCTCGGTTCTGAATGACGCTCCTGGACACAAATCTCGACATATTTCTCATTTTTTACATTTTTTAAACCACCTTTCATTTCCTCCTCATGCATTTTTACGCACAGGCTGATTGTTATTTTATTTTTTTTAGCAGAAACGTTGCAGCCGCTTTTAAACACGACTCATTTCAGCTGAGTCTTTTTAATAATAAAAATGAAAAAGTGCAGCTCCTCATCATGAACGTGGCTCCACATTTCTCACGTATTGCCGTGGATTTATGGGATGTTGGGTGTATGCTGTTGATTCAACACTACGTAATGGTGTTTTTATTCTCGGCAGCCTGCTAAGCTGCACAGCACCGACTGATGAGGATGCTGGGCTGCTTAATGGTTTCCATATCCGTCCCGTTTTTTTAAAAGGCGGATTGCTGGTTTTAGGTGTAATCATCTCTGAAAATAAATAAATAAAAATAAAAATGTAAGGACTTACTCGCCCTCCATGGCTCGGTGTTGCCCGCCGCTTGCAGCAGCCCACCCCCAGGGTCTCCTCTCCTCCTCTTCGTCTTCTATTCTTTTTTTACTCTCCTCCTTTCAGGAAACACTCAGGCTCTGCTCTCATTATCCCTCAATCTTCCTCTCTCCTTCCTCTTCCTCCACCTTGATGTCGTCTCGGTGTATCAGGATAGGCTTGAGGTTGCAGCAGCCATTTTCCGCTGGCAGCATCCTCCCTCCCTCCCTGTCCNCTCTCTCCCCCCCCCTCTACCTGCCCTCTTCCAGCACATCCGCACTAATCATTGACAGCTTTAGGTGGGCCACGGAGTTGCTCAGAGATCGGAAACAAACCGGATACAGAAAGTGAGCCGTGTGAAAAAAAAAAAAGCCTGAATGACCTCTAACTGACGCTCTCATGAAAGTTAAATCCTTTTGAAATCTGTTCAAAACACGAAATGTTTGTTATATTTATATATGTAATTTAAAATGTATTATAATAATGTAAAATATAAAGTTAGAATAATATGAAGGCTAAAAAACGTTAAAGGTGAAAAGCTTTCAGCACCGAGGACAGCGAATCCGCACTGCGCATGCGCAGTCTAACTTTAAGTTGCCAGTACAGTTTTAGCCCTTGTGTCTGACTTTTAGCCAAATAACTCGCGAACCGCTGGAAGGATTTTAATGAAATTCTACTTAAGTAAGCATGCAGTGGATTTCTACAACATTTTACATTTAGGAGTCAACACTATTCAAAATGGCCGCGACAGACTGTCAAGATGAGCAAACACAAAAAACGCTACAAGTCTACCATTTTTACAGATATTGAGGTAAAATCTGCTGTAGTACCAGCTGAGGTTCATCCCCAACGCATACTTTAAGCCATAACTGATCGTGCAAGGGCTCTGTTTGAAAATGTGCTCAAAGTTTGACTTTTGTCAGCTAGCAAAAAAACCTTTGCCGTAAACTCATTTCAAGATAACGACCACGGTCAAGTGAACTTCGCCAACAGAAAAATGTGTACAATTCAAGTCAGTTTTAAAATTATTGTAGCTGAGAGTCTCATACGCGTGATGTCTCGCGGTTTTGCGCGAAATGTCACGCACATGGCGTGATTTTTAAAGTTTGGTCAAAACGAGCAATGCTTCACCATCTCTCAACAAGAGACGATCTTTGTTTGAAACTGAACATGAAAGGCAGCGGGTGATGTGCATTCTTTTACAGGGTGATGGATCTTCATTTGATGTTCTACAAACCTAGACTTGAGAAAATATGGACTTTCGTTTCTGTATAATCAAAGAAAACTTAAAGACTTTCTTTGTTTTGCACAGATATAAAAAATTTGCTCAAAATATTACATTTTAAAGTTGTGATGTGGTTATTAAATTTGATACTTTTGTAGGTTTAGGCCTACAAGTTAGAAAGAAAGTTACAAGTATTCGTGTGGATGGTGAAACATCCTGTTTTCTTTTTAATGTTTATTCTTATAAGTTAGCAAAAATTTAGATGTTTTATTTGTGTATTAAAATGTTCCACTGACTCAAAACCTTAGTTTTATTTATTTTATTTTACTTATTTTCAATTTAAAAATAACATTTTAAACTATTAATCGGAACAACACATTTTTTACTCAATATTTTAATATTTTTAAAACTTTGTATTGGCTCTATTTAGCACAGTCTACTTCAAATTTAGCTTTTACTGTTTTGCTATTTTTGCTTTTTTATTTTAGGTACATTTTGGTTAACCTTAACATTGAATTTTTAGCTACTCCTGCTAAATTATCCTTTAGCTACGGTTTTGATTATCTTAGCTTTATTTTTATGCTGCTGTTTTGCTTGCTTTAGTTTTTAGCTACACTTTGGTCAATTTAACCTTTGCAAATCATAGTTTTTAGCTACTTTGCTGCTAATACTTTTTTAGCTACTGTTTTGTTCATTCAAACTTATTTTAGCATTCAGCAATTCACACTAAATTTAGCTTTTCTCAACATTTTGCCAATTTTAGCTACTGCAACATATTGGCAGGCTTTTAGCTCATCTTCAGCTATGGTTTTGATTGTTTTAGTTTTAACCCTTTTTTTCTTGCTTTACTTTTAGCTGCGGTTTAGCTTTTTTAAAGTATGTTTTAGTTACTCTTTTATATTAGTTTTTAGCTCATCCTCTGTTAAATTTCTTTAAGCTGTTTTCCCCATTTAAGCTCTACTTTTTTTTCCATTTCTAGTGTTTAGCTATTGTTGCTGAATTTAGCTTTTAGCGTAATTTTCGCTGATTTTAGCTAGTTTTGCTTTACCGCTTTTAGCAACATTTTGGCTAACAAAGCATTTAGCTTCTCCTTTAACATGATCTTTTAGTGACTATTTTGCTAATTTGAGCTTTTAACTACTATTCTATTAATTTTAGCTACTATTTAGCCAAAATAACATACAGGAATCAAAAGTTTTCTGGAAGTGAGGCAAACAAACTGGAGTGTTGTCTGATGAGATGTTTTTATATCCATTTCGCCCCACTGCTTGTTGTTGCTTTGCTCCTACAGCTGTGATTAACGAGGTCAATCAGGAAAACAAGGATGAGTCACAGAAAAAGGTGAATTTCTGGACGATTTATTGCAGATCAGAAGTGAAATACAAACCTTTCAGGGAGGAAGTTGCAATACTCTTTTAGAAAACAAAACTTTAAAAGGAACAAAATATTTCTGTACTGAGAATAAAACTTTTGTACAAAAGTCAGAATCGTATTTGTTGATCAGGTTAACGACTGATTTGATGTAAATAACAGAAAAAGGTCCAAAGTTTCTAGAAGTAGTTTCTCTGTCGATATCTGAGGATGACTCGTGAATCAAGAAGCATCAAAAACAAAACAACTACAGCTGTTTTAAAAATGGAGAAGAACTCTGGTCACAAACGGAGTCAGGTGTTTTAATCTGGGCTGAATGTTCCAGGGGGGCGGGGTTAAACAATCATTTCCAGGTGCCGTGCGTACTCGATGACCTGCTGTGCCAGCTCTGTGGAGGGGATGTTGACCTCTTCTGTCCGCTGGTGCTGACTGGTGAAGGTGTAGCAGCCGTCTGGGTTCTGAGTCCAGCCTCGCTGGAATCAAAAACAAGAAACAGCTTCGTTTAGATGCGTTAAAGAGGCCGGACGTGATGAGATTTATTTTAATAATACCAGTTTAATCCAGCTCACCTTCTTGGCGTACTCCGTCATCTTTTTGGGTGAGTTGAAGAACAGAACTCTGGTCGCTTCGCTGAACTGGATCTGCTCGTACGCTTTCTCTATGCAGCCTGCGATCTCATCCCTGCAGGACCAGTTATAAGGAATTAGATTCTTCTGTTTGTTTTCCAGTGTATAAAAACATAATGTTAGGTCTTTGTTTGTTTTTACCGAATAGTGTCGAGCAGAATATCTATAAAGAAGGTGTAACTCGCAGCGGGGATGTTGCCTTTTGCAAGAAATACCTTGTTGTAGCTTCCCTCCATCAAGTACTGGAATGACATGAAAATAAGGTAAAAATTAAAAACAAAATTTATAAAAAAAACTTTAATCTTTTGTGAAAACAAATCATACATCAACATATTCATCAAACAGGAATTAAAATCTACATAAAATCTTTAAAAAATGTCTCATTCATAATAAAATTTATTGTGAATGGATTGAAATAAAATGCTTTTATTATGAAAAACAACTCAGCAAAAACTCAAGAGCTTGTTTGATTCGGTTTTTTTTTGTTGTTTTTAGCAGCAGTTTTAGCTTCTATTTACTATATTTAGCTTTTATTTTGACACTTTATGATTTTGCTGTACAGACATTCATGTACAATTTCTGATTTTTAGCTGAGATTTTACTAAACTTACGATAGGTGTTATCTATAGATTTGATAAATTTATTTTTAGCTTTGGTTAACTAGATTAATCTTTTAAATGTTTCTTTGATACCTCCAATTATGATTTTAATATATTGAGAAG